GAGAGAGAGAGAGAGAGAGAGAGAGAGAGAGAGAGAGAGAGAGAGAGAGAGAGAGAGAGAGAGTTCTTCCTCCTCTAAGTCCACCATTTTTACCTCACCCTCTCGCCCCCTGACTTCTCTGTATCTACCAGCTAAGAGAGAGAGAGAGAGAGAGATGGGCGACATTGGGATTTGACGACATTTGGGTTCAGACTCAACATCGGGATTCAGACCTTTGGCGAGGGATTATTTGGGACTGTATCGAAGACTTGGTGTTGACGACATTTCCATCTTCCCCCTCTCCTTCATCTCATCCCCCTCTTCTTCGCCTGTGTACGATCAAGGACTGACGCATTCTGCCAGTGTGAGCGTCAGCCCCCTTCACACCGTGGAATGATGATGATGCATGTTTGGTCTGCATGGCAGCTTGATTGATCGGATCATTGGTATTTAAGCCTTCCGTTGTGCAATCTTGTATATGGCGAGAAAGGTTGGTTCTTGGTCTGGTCTGCACCATTATGGTATGCAACAGAGGGTGTTGGGGGCCGGTTTGTGGGTTTGGGCGGGTGTATGGGGTATTTGGGGTGGGTATGGGGGTGTTTGTGGGGTTATTAGGGGTTCTAGACCGAAAAAAGAATTAAAAAAAAGAAAATGTGGGGTGCCGACGACCCCTGACCGGTAGGTGCCGACGACCCCCGACCGGTACGTTCCGACCAGCCGACCGGTCGGCGGGTCGGCAGCCGACCAGTCAGGGGTCGTCGACGGTTGGCGTGTGCAACACTGCTACACACCCAACTCATGTCAATATCAGACCAAAAGAGTAGCTATTGTACCGGCTAACATGGTATAGTCATGGCTAACATGCTATAGTCATGAGTAACGCGCTATAGACATGGCTTGTGAATTCCCACTTTCTCAAACGGAATCACGAAAATGGCAAGCCACGACCAACACGTTGGTATGGTCATTTCCAAAATGTTTTAGTCACGACTAACACTAACATGCTATCGTCATGGCCAACATGCTATAATCATGGGTAACATGTTATATTCATGGCTTAAAGCACCAGTGCAATCGAACTCGACTTATTCACACTTCATCATGCTTGCAAACATCGATACAGCGAACTGGCGACATGCGCCCACACAGTACTCAAAGATATCGTAACCAGATATGAGTTCTCTTCCAACTGGCTATGGCGACTGTGCGCCCATACAACTCACTGTTCACACTCGAGATCACCCTGGATGTCCCACTCAATGTTCATACACAACACACACACACTAGGCTATGGCTATGGCAGCGCTAGCTGCCACTACCCTACCGCTACACTACACTTCTCTGCCCACTTCATCTTCGGGCACACTGCAGACCTCCTCGCACAAGCTGCTRAGGCAGCRCTTCCRCATGGCATCYRCAGGAATGAATGAATGGCTGGACGCAGCCTCTTGATTTATACTTCTGCGCTGCGTTGGTCTGCCCTGTATCCCTGGCCCATGGTGCACACAGTCCCCCCCGTGGTACTTGCTGGATCGGACTGGTACTTTCTAGACTCTCCCTTGACTGCATGGCGACAACCCTATGACGCAGTGCAGTTGCACTGGGGTCCTGCTGTTTGACCTCGCCACTTGTCCTCGTCTTCAACGTGGGCTTGCAGACCTTCTAGACGGACTGCCACTTGCCTGCACCACTTGACCACTTGCCGACCTTCTAGAAGGACTGCAGCTAGACTTCTAATCTACAGGTCTACAAATCGAATCCTGGCTACCTATAGACCTACGACAGACCTACTTACCACTGGCGGTTCTACAGGTCGCAGGTTCAATTCTTCGAGTTGACACAGGTATTGTACACAGGTAAGTTGGGGAACTAGGGATCGAACCCTGGGATCTGCATCAGCCACTTCGAACTGGTGAATACCGTTTCACCAGTACACCATACATCAGCCCGCAGGTGTCAGAACGAAACCCGCACCACTTCAGAGGCCGCCATTTTTTTTTTTCAACGGCGCCCCACCCCGCGCGGCCCCTACGAGTTTATCTTGTGACGACAAAAACTTTCTGCAAGGCTGCGGCCGTGTACTGGCGGTTTAACAAAATAGAAGTCGTGAGTGTCTACATCGAGGAGAGGCGTGACTACGAGGTGACGAGAAAAACAGGAAAATAGAAGCAGATAGGTGATCAGACAACGTCCGCTCATCATTTATTGGGCCTCACTCCACTACTCAACATGCTACATGCATGTGGATGCCTTTCTGGACCAGGTGCATTCATCGGAGTCCAGCATTTTGAATGCATCAGCATGATTATGAGCTCCAGATACATATAGAGTGTTATATCGTGGACCGAGGGCCATTATCACCACATTGACAAATACAGGATGCTGACTCTCATTGGCACATACAATAAATGACGCCTTTGCATCAGAACAACAAGTGATGATTATTCAGAGGATGAACACATACACATAACCCAGTAACATTCATGCGGCAGCCTGGTCCTAAGTACAACAAACATGTGACTGTTAATAAGTAGCAATAAACATGTGATAAGAAAGATGATACGCTTGATCGTCAGCTACTGAGCAGCAAGGCTTAGAGGGCGTCAGATGAGCAAATGCGCAATTCCAGATCATGACAGCCCAGGCGAAGACAGAAAGAAGACAGTTGGGAAAAAAAAGAAGAAGAGCGGGGGAAAGAAAGAAAGGAGAAGAGGGATGGAGTAAAAGAAAAGAGAATGGACTCGTCAACAACACTCGAGTATCCGCCCACTCTCTCAGTGAAAACCAAAACCATGCGACTATATTAAGAAACAGGTCATTCATGGGTTCGAATCCCGACTCAATCAGAGATGGTTACAATAAGGTTAGGATCTACCGCCGCCTTTCGAAAAAAAAAAAAGAAAAAAAAAAAAAAGAAAAAAACAAAAGAAAGAAGGAATACGTACCCCTCCAATTGCCCGAGACGATAATGTGGGCCCATCCAAAACAGATGAAGGACCGTCACCCATGCTCTTAGCTTGCTCTCTGTATTGTTTTTGCGCTCTGGTCTTTTCAGACATTAGTGCAGCTGCTGCACGAGCTTTACCGATCTCTCCGACAACACGCGCAGCCGCATGCAAAGATGGGCGAGAGGACGAGCACAAAGCAAAATCCAACCTACAAACTCACATGCGACCAACAGAACACACCATGCAAAGAGCAATGCAATGACCCAAGTTCACACATCTCACAGAAGACCAGACATCATTGAGCTGAAATCGAAAGCAGAAATCAAAGCGAGAATCCCTCCAAATAGAAACGAGCAAAGCACTTAAGTCTCTGCTGATAATGAAAGTCCTTCCAACGCATCCAATCACCAATACAACAACAATGTAGCCCTCCTACGGGCAGCTATACCGCTGACTCTACCTCCCACTGCTCCTATCGAACTACCTTCTTCACCCGCATAGAACACCCGGCAATTATTGCCGTATCTGGCCCGAAAGCTGCACCAAATACAGCTATAATGACCTGGCATTCCATTCGGGTGAAAACGGTCCCCTACTTATGTCAGCAACAGGTCCACGTGTCAGAAGCCCAATGCTGCTTGAAAATTCTGATCGAACAGCCTCCCTTCGTCGACACCACGTCTGTGCCTTGTCACACTGTGTCTCTTCCTTCTCCTGCTCCCAGTTCAACCAAGGACCTCTGCCACCACTGGCTATGGAGCGACCAGCCCGGCTATGGCTGCCGCTGTTTGCCGCTGCTCTCCCGTTCATGCACCTCGCTGCCACCACGCAGCTTCCTCCTTGGGCGCAAGTGTCGGGCAGCCCCTTGCACAGTGCTGTCGCATTGCCAGAATGCCCAATGTCCAATGCAGGGCGCCCTCTCCAGTCTTTTGTGCTGGCCTTAGAGGCCGAGCCCAGGCTGCGCCCTGTTCTAGTCTCTCGCACCTTGGGCCCTTCCTGAATCTGCACGAGGCCCAGCATCTTCCACTAACGCCTGGGCTGCGCCTACCGGTTAGTCGAAGCTGCTGCACACGTGTCAGCAACAACTTGGGGCCCTCATTCTGTTCACTTAGGGCGGGCTGGGCCTTTTCCTGCGAAATCAGACTTGACTCTGAACTCGTTTACAACATGCATATATGAACGTGCTGATGGCCAACCAACTTCATCCACCTCAGATCCAACACGACATGCGCCCACACAGAAAAGTCAGAGATGCGGCCTCTGGCCAGAACTCCAACTCAAGTCAACTGTTACAACTTGCGGCTATGGCCGCCGGACACTGTCTGAAGTCCCTGCCCGAACACTATCTCCACCACCAGCCTCACTCTCACTCATGTATGCACGCACGAGGATCCACCGTGAATGTCCACACTACACACACACACACACACACACACACACACACACACACA